CTTGCTGACAGACCTGGAAGGTGAACCTCTGCACAATAACCAAAAACATTATGAATACACAATAATGAAACCAGAAGACTAACAACACATGGCAATCAATATAATTACCGATGAGGTGAAGGGGAATGACCAGCCGACTGTGGAGACCTAGAAACCCTGCAGGGAATTGATATAGCATCATTCTTCAAAAAACAACACAGTAATACTAGAATGATAAAAGTTATTTCCAGATAAGTACACCCTAAATGTGCTACTGAAAAGAGAAACAACAACCCAAGACTTGTCTAGCTACTAAATTACAATAAGTAAATGCCCCAACTTGAAGCAATTTTCAAATAAAACATTTCTAACATTGAGAAACAGAATACTGGAACTATTCTGGCAATTTTTCAACAGACTGACACAGTTACGTAAAATCTAAAAATCCTCCCCTACCCAGCGCAAAAGCACCAGTACAAATATATCTTTCCCGACATATATGTAAAAGCACTCAAAGTACAATTAATGTCTGAAACTTAGGAAAGCCATTTTACATTTACCTCCCAACTGACATGTACAATGTTGAACCAAAAAGAAACTCAAAATGGAACTCATAGGTGGGACACAATATGATCGATCATTTCAGCATTTATCATATAAACTATTCATTTCAAGAAATAAATAAATCGCCTACAATATTAACCAGTGAAAACGTTCAGATTTTGATAGTTATATCGCATATATGCATGTGAGAGTAATCACTTAACTTTACAATTGAACCCATATTAATTTGCCTTTTCAATGCCAAAAATTAGGTTTTCATATTACCAAACCTCATTTTTTATATGTATAAGAAACTAAACCAAACCTCATTCATTAAATGAATCAGCCAAACTATACCTAAAAATTAATTATACTCACAAACATGTCATAGAATTGCAATGTTGATCAGCCAACAACATTTTCAGCCCCTTTCCTCCACAAACTCTAATTAGATTAAAATGAAAGGAATTTTCTTTTATATTTCTAGTGCTTTCAAACTTCAAATTTGTCAACCATGTTTTAAACAATCAGCACCCATACAATCACAAATTTGATATAATCAATTCTACCTATGTTTCCAGATTGGATAAAGTAAACATATATCGCATGGATGGCCATATAAGTACCTATCTTGTTCTATAATGAATACAAAAAGAAGAACAATAACAAATGTTATTACATTAATGCAGCAACTTTAAACTCATACCTGCTCCTTCCTCTCACACCATTCCTCTCGCCAGGTCCTTTCCCATCCTCAGACCGGATACTTGCATCCTTTGCCAGCATAGTCTTTGTGTTTGGATCCAAAGCATCCGCAGCAGCCTTCATTTCAACTGCACCGTCCTACAGTAGTTTGAGGTAAAGGACATGAACCCAAATAATTGCAGAAGCTAGCTGAATGCCATGAGAAAGATAAGCGGTAGTTAAAACCAAAAACCCAACTCTAGAGACTGTAACTCCAGCATGAATAAACTATTATTACCATCTTCTTCAATCTCTCTTGGTCACGTTCTCTACTTTCCTTCTCTTTCTTCTTCTGAATTTCATTTGCTATCCTATCTGCCTCCAACTGCAATAACCCATGACAAAATATTAGAAAGCAGTGACACTATAAGTACACATTGAGCTATATCTTGATTTTACGGGGGAATGATCAACCTTTTTCTCCCTTGTTTCTTCTTCCTTGGCATCCAAGAACTGCTGAGGAACTCCACTAGCATTCTTTTGCGCACTGAGGAGAAGCGTCCAAAGCTCTTTCATAAACTTTCCAGTATTTTTCTCCATGAAACCAGTAAGTGATATCTGCACCTGTTTCCCATTCACCTCCTGCATTAAAATAACATAGAACAAGTCCCATCTCAATCAACTGATGTTAGGTTTGATATTATGGAATGTATATGTTAATATTCAGATCCTGTGCCGAGTAAAATGGTGTATACCACTGTATTAGTGGCCTAAAATAAAGGATTAAAGGAAGCAAGATCCATTGTGAAATATACTTAACCACATAAATACGATTTGATGGAAAAAATAAAACAAGATAACTGCCATTGATGTATAAAAAAGATAGTATTTCCAATCCTACTATCCACTTCAAAATCATATTTACCTTTCCATCAAGAAGGCCGTAAATGAAGTTGATGAGAACTTCATCTTCAAAGCCAAGTAGCTCAGTAACCCTATTAGCAATCCACGGTCTAATAACATCCATCTTCACTTTTGTCATGTCCACCTGAAACCATATAATTTGGCCACGTCGTCAACAAGCACGCAAGTTACAATTATATGGAAAACTCAATTTGATACTACATAGCATATAATTCAATTTTGTACTACTAAAATTCTCTGCATTTCTTACCTTTCTTATTTAAAAAAAAAAAAATCAGGCTTTTCACTGCCAGGATGTGTTAAAATATCAGATAGCATACCTAAATTTAGTTCATGTATAAGTAATAATGTGAGCAATCAATAAGCAAAATAATTTGTATAGCAGAGACACTTCTACCTCTTTAATTCCTGGTTTTTCTTCCTCAGATCTATCTTATCAGGTTGGCTCCTAGATTCAGGGGGATGACATCTGATGCTACCCTGTCTGGAGATATTCTTCCTTTTGCATAATCTACGTGATGACACGGATTTATGATCCCTGTCCTCCCCACAAGCATGAATGAAGTACAATTCAGCAAAATTGAAAAACTTAAAATTTCCACATGATAACAAGGAAAATCAATTCATAGTTATCAAAAATAAGAACAAACCTAGTACGATTGGTATCTTTTCTTCTTTACTTGTATCTGGACCACCTTGACGAGGTTTTTCTCTTGGTTTTTGTGGAGGACTCAAGCTGCCATCATGAATCCTTGCTGCCAGGTCTGCCTGCCAGGACTTTCATATGGACTAAATGATCTTTGGAAAGCACCCACAATGTATAAACACATATGTCAACAAAATGATGAAGAATTAACATTAAAGATGTATAGATATATAAAAGCTGATATAAATACCTCCTATCTTCACTAGCACTCCTTTTCCTTGTTGCACGTGGAGGGGACTCTGATACAGTAGGAGACCTCCGGTGATGGTGAAAAAGCTGACATCTTACGTAAATCATTCGATTCTTTGATTCTCCAGGTGGTGACCTCAGAGAGCTGAACGTCGACGTGCAGCAGGAGAAAAACTCTCACAGATTCTGTACATGACATATTACAACTACTTCAGATATTCAAATAGCAAAACTTCATTAAAACATCTACTTAGAGAAGGTACATGCCTAATTTTCTCTCCAGGAGATTGCACAGGTGATCTCCTATAGTCATTGGGAGATTTCCTCTTGATTGGAGATAGAGTCCTACGTCGTGGAGATGGAGAACTTGATCATAGGGTGAAGGAGACCTATGACGAAGGAGTCTGTGGTCTCATGCGGGCAGGAACAGGTGATCTTTGATGTATGAGATGTAGATCGATGTTGCGGAGTCAGGATCTTTGATACCGCCGTCGCACAGGAGAGAGTGACGTACGATGCACAGTGAAGGGCTCCTACGACGCACAAGAAGGGGATCCACGCTGCACAGGTGAAAGGGATTCACTTCCCGTGGGTGAAGGAGATCTACTCGCGAATAGGTGAAGGTGATCTACGCGCCGAATAGGTGAGGTGATCTACGGCGCGAATAGGTGAAGGTGACTACACGCCGAATAAGTGACGGTGACCTACGACGTCGAATAGGTGATGGCGACCTACGGCGTCGAACTGGTACGGCGACCTACGCGCCGAACTGGTGATGGCGACCTACGACCCGAATGGGGATGGCGATCGACGGCGCCGAACAGGAGATGGTGATCTACGACGCATTGGTGAGGTGACTTGCGTCGAAAAGGTGAATGCAATCTACGCCGAAAGGGAGATGGTGATCTGCGAAGCGATCGTGACCTAGATCTTCGCCAATAAGATGGTCTTCGTCTAGGAGGGGAGAACCGAGGTGAATGCCTCCTACAGGTGTAATTGACCGTCTTCTCAAAGAGTGGTGCACCCTGTCGAAGAAATAGAGCCCTTCGTGCATTAGGTGATCTAGACATACTCCTTGACTTGCGCCTGCCACTATTTGTGTATCAAATCAGATGCTACAGTTTAGAAGATTTGCATATAGTACATGAAAGATCAAGTTAAAAACATAAGCACCCATAACATATACATTATTAGGCTAGTAAAGGTTAAGACACAACAAACATTGTACTAATCCAAATTAACCCAATAGGGGCTTAGAAAGGTTAAGACACAAAAAAAAAAATATTAATTATTACTTATTGAAACACTACAATAACTCACATCGCATCGCATATATTCTGCTTCAAATAGCAATAGGCACTCCACTCAGCTTCAAGAACTTCTCCCAAAAACTAAAAATTCTCCAGTACTGACAAAATGGTGAGGACCTTAATTTAACTAGTATGGAGTACCATATATTGGTTCTACCCTCCAGGTCGGAGTACCTTTCTTTTTTTAATTATTAATAAAAAATTATAAACTTTGTATTAAATTACTCTAAAAAGGTAAGAACTTCTCACTAACTAATTATACCTTTGTTAACTTAAGAATCAAAACGCCCAATAATCTATAATCGGACACACATAATGCCGTATAAATCCCCAAAAATATTTTCAAACTAAAACTTAAAAAGAAAACAACTCAAATATTATGGACCAATAGCAACCATCAATTCAAGCGATCGTCCTTGTAAAGGAGCTAAAGTACACATATTACTAGCTCCTGCTACTATTATTCTAATTCCACTAAATTACCAATTCCACTTATATTTGTCAACAAACACAATGCATCCCAAATATTAACAAAGAAACTTTGAAAAAAAAAATATCAATTAATTGCCCCATTAAAATATCCTCTGCTAAAATACCCTCCCAAGTACACATAAATTTTCAACGCTGTAACGATCTGTTCATTGTCCTCCCATTTCAAAGTAACCTAACATTAACATGACATGATTCACATCCCAACAGGAAAACATAATCGTTTAATCACTTATACAAATGATAATTCTCTGCAACTGCAAAGTATACAAATAAAAAGCAAATTCACAATATATACAAACATTAACAAGAAAAGGTCAAAAGAATCCATCAGGAACTTTTCCTGCTAACAAGAGTGCATATGAAAATCTTTGCACAAATCAAAGATGACCACAGCCAGTAGCTCAGAACTAAACTCAAGACAAGCACCTCCCATATGCTATGAGATTATCATATACAACTTACTATATTATTCATGCATATAACATGACACGATATATACTGCACAGACCTTACAGCTGATATCAACATCAGGACAGGACGAGTCCGAAAACTATAGCACCATGGAGAATATTAGAAAATTAAGTCCCAGGAACAACTCTCAAACTGCCATCCATAGAGAGGTTAACCGAAATAGTGAGAAAGCAGCTACCATAAATATACAAAAAGGATTCACTTATCGACACCGAGATTTCTTCTAAAAGAACCCTTAGAAGGATAAGAGTACTTCACCTGAATTGATGTCCAGAATGTAGGTCTGCATATGATGTGCTCAACCAAGTCATCTAGTTGACAAAATATTCATCTATCAATTGACCAGAAAGCTGATTTAGAGTCAGTCTCATATTAATGCAACTGACAAGACCCTTTTTAGGCTTAGTTTTGTTCTCTTAAGAAGAATAACAAGATCAATCAAACCTATAGACCTCATCAACTTCTACTAGTAGCACTACTCAGACTCAGATTTAACATCAGATAGGATATTGACACAAATATTTTTTCTAACAAATGAAAAAGTCATAAAGCACTAATAATCAAGGCAACGAGATGCCTTTCCCTTCACATTCAAACAACAGATAAAATCCCACAAAACAATGAAATCAATTCCCGACTAAGGGAAGACAATTATTACCAGAAAATTTAGCAGCAAAGTCTGCATAGAGTTGCACTCAAGAGATTAGCTCAGGAAATCCTCATTTATCCATTTCAGCTGCCAGCAGCAAACACAGACTACATTAAACAGTTAACAAAATATAGAATACTCCCATTCAAAACATGATTAACCTAGAAAATTAAGATACTGGTCACCAAGATTTAAATGACAAAATAACATCTGATGTTCCAAGACAAAAATATTTAGCGACTGTTGATCTTCTTTGCTTTAATGGATTCCAAAGCCTTATTTCGTAACTCAATCTCAAGCCTTTTCTGTTCAGATTCTGTCACTTCATCGTCACTTGGATGAGACTCCCTTCTAGAAATATGTTCTCCATCCGAACCATCAGCATCATTTCGATTTTTCAATTTGTGCTTCTCTGCACGTCGCTCTTCCTTTCTACGACGTCTCTCATCACGCCGTCGACGCTTTTCCTCTTTTCTTAATTTCTTTTCTTCCTTTCTCCTCCTCTTAGCATGCTTCCTCTCAGTTTCAGAATCATAACTGTAGTCATCATCTGAAGCCACTTCTTCCCTCTCATATTTATGCTTTCTCTTTTCCTTATTGTCAGCTCTGTGTTTGTAACTTTCCTCAGAACCAGAATCAACACTATCACTCCGGTTGCCATGATCCACTTTTTCAACGACCATTGTCGCATTTGCTGACTTACGCCGTTGATCACTTTCCTTGCCATTACTTGAACGAGAGTGGTTTCTCTCATCAGATTTTTTACTTTCTCCTGGGTACGATGACTGTTGCCTCTCACCGGGCAAGGTTGGTGACCTTTCTTGATCAAAAGTTTGAGGACGATCACCCCTCCCAGAGGATTTTTCACTGCCAGGAATGTGTTAAAATATCAGATAGCATACCTAAATTTAGTTCATGTATAAGTAATAATGTGAGCAATCAAATAAGCAAAATATATTGTATAGCAGAGACACGTCTACCTCTTTAAATCCTGGTTTTTCTTCCTCAGATCTATCTTATCAGGTTGGCTCCTAGATTCAGGGGGATGACGATCTGATGCTACCCTGTCTGGAGAATATTCTTCCTTTTGCATAGATCTACGTGATGACACGGATTTATGATCCCTGTCCTCCCCACAAGCATGAATGAAGTACAATTCAGCAAAATTGAAAAACTTAAAATTTCCACATGATAACAAGGAAAATCAATTCAGTAGTTATCAGAAAATAAGAACAAACCTAGTACGATTGGTATCTTTTTCTTCTTTACTTGTATCTGGACCACCTTGACGAGGTTTTTCTCTTGGTTTTTGTGGAGGACTCAAGCTGCCATAATGAATCCTTGCATGCCAGGTCTGCCTGCCAGGACTTTCATATGGACTTAATGACCTTTGGAAAGCAGCCAACAATGTATAAACACATATGTCAACAAAATGATGAAGAATTAAACATTAAAGATGTTATAGATAATATAAAAGCTGATATAAATACCTCCTATCTTCACTAGCACTCCTTTTCCTTGTTGCACGTGGAGGGGACTCTGATACAGTAGGAGACCTCTCTGGTGATGGTGAAAAAGCTGACATCTTACGTAAATCATTCCGATTCTTTGATTCTCCAGGTGGTGACCTCAGAGAGCTGGAACGTCGACGTGCAGCAGGAGAAAAACTCTCACAGACTCTGTACATGACATATTACAACTACTTCAGATATTCAAATAGCAAAACTTCATTAAAACATCTACTTAGAGAAGGTACATACCTAATTTTCTCTCCAGGAGATTGCACAGGTGATCTCCTATAGTCATTGGGAGATTTCCTCTTGATTGGAGATAGAGTCCTACGTCGTGGAGGAGATGGAGAACTTGATTCATAGGGTGAAGGAGACCTATGACGGGAAGGAGTCTGTGGTCTCATGCGGGCAGGAACAGGTGATCTTTGATGTATGGGAGATGTAGATCGATGTTGCGGAGTCAAAGGAGATCTTTGATACCGCCGTCGCACAGGAGAGAGTGACGTACGATGCACAGGTGAAGGGCTCCTACGACGCACAGGAGAAGGGGATCCACGCTGCACAGGTGAAAGGGATTCACTTCCCATGGGTGAAGGAGATCTACGTCGTCGAATAGGTGAAGGTGATCTACGGCGCCGAATAGGTGAAGGTGATCTACGGCGCCGAATAGGTGAAGGTGATCTACGACGCCGAATAGGTGAAGGTGATCTACGACGTCGAATAAGTGACGGTGACCTACGACGTCGAATAGGTGATGGCGACCTACGGCGTCGCACTGGTGACGGCGACCTACGACGCCGAACTGGTGATGGCGACCTACGACGCCGAATAGGAGATGGCGATCTACGGCGACGAACAGGAGATGGTGATCTACGACGCATTGGTGAGGGTGACTTGCGTCGAAAAGGTGAATGCAATCTACGCCGAAAGGGAGATGGTGATCTGCGAAGCGATCGTGACCTAGATCTTCGCCTTAAATAAGATGGTCTTCGTCTAGGAGAGGGGGAGAACCGAGGTGAATGCCTCCTACGAGGTGTAATTGACCGTCTTCTCAAAGAGTGGTGCACCCTGTCAGAAGAAATAGAGCGCCTTCGTGCATTAGGTGATCTAGACATACTCCTTGACTTGCGCCTGCCACTATTTGTGTATCAAATCAGATGCTACAGTTTAGAAGATTTGCATATATGTACATGAAAGATCCAAGTTAAAAAACATAAGCACCCATAACATATACATATATTAGGCTAGTAAAGGTTAAGACACAACAAACGTTGTACTAATCCAAATTAACCCAATATGGGGCTTAGAAAGGTTAAGACACAAAAAAAATATGGTACTGCTCCAAATTAACTAAATTTGGGTTTAATGCTGCAGCACAAAAATATAACCATACCCTGAATAATCTCTGGAATTGGAATGAGACTTGCTGACAGACCTGGAAGGTGAACCTCTGCACAATAACCAAAAACATTATGAATACACAATAATGAAACCAGAAGACTAACAACACATGGCAATCAATATAATTACCGATGAGGTGAAGGGGAATGACCAGCCGACTGTGGAGACCTAGAAACCCTGCAGGGAATTGATATAGCATCATTCTTCAAAAAACAACACAGTAATACTAGAATGATAAAAGTTATTTCCAGATAAGTACACCCTAAATGTGCTACTGAAAAGAGAAACAACAACCCAAGACTTGTCTAGCTACTAAATTACAATAAGTAAATGCCCCAACTTGAAGCAATTTTCAAATAAAACATTTCTAACATTGAGAAACAGAATACTGGAACTATTCTGGCAATTTTTCAACAGACTGACACAGTTACGTAAAATCTAAAAATCCTCCCCTACCCAGCGCAAAAGCACCAGTACAAATATATCTTTCCCGACATATATGTAAAAGCACTCAAAGTACAATTAATGTCTGAAACTTAGGAAAGCCATTTTACATTTACCTCCCAACTGACATGTACAATGTTGAACCAAAAAGAAACTCAAAATGGAACTCATAGGTGGGACACAATATGATCGATCATTTCAGCATTTATCATATAAACTATTCATTTCAAGAAATAAATAAATCGCCTACAATATTAACCAGTGAAAACGTTCAGATTTTGATAGTTATATCGCATATATGCATGTGAGAGTAATCACTTAACTTTACAATTGAACCCATATTAATTTGCCTTTTCAATGCCAAAAATTAGGTTTTCATATTACCAAACCTCATTTTTTATATGTATAAGAAACTAAACCAAACCTCATTCATTAAATGAATCAGCCAAACTATACCTAAAAATTAATTATACTCACAAACATGTCATAGAATTGCAATGTTGATCAGCCAACAACATTTTCAGCCCCTTTCCTCCACAAACTCTAATTAGATTAAAATGAAAGGAATTTTCTTTTATATTTCTAGTGCTTTCAAACTTCAAATTTGTCAACCATGTTTTAAACAATCAGCACCCATACAATCACAAATTTGATATAATCAATTCTACCTATGTTTCCAGATTGGATAAAGTAAACATATATCGCATGGATGGCCATATAAGTACCTATCTTGTTCTATAATGAATACAAAAAGAAGAACAATAACAAATGTTATTACATTAATGCAGCAACTTTAAACTCATACCTGCTCCTTCCTCTCACACCATTCCTCTCGCCAGGTCCTTTCCCATCCTCAGACCGGATACTTGCATCCTTTGCCAGCATAGTCTTTGTGTTTGGATCCAAAGCATCCGCAGCAGCCTTCATTTCAACTGCACCGTCCTACAGTAGTTTGAGGTAAAGGACATGAACCCAAATAATTGCAGAAGCTAGCTGAATGCCATGAGAAAGATAAGCGGTAGTTAAAACCAAAAACCCAACTCTAGAGACTGTAACTCCAGCATGAATAAACTATTATTACCATCTTCTTCAATCTCTCTTGGTCACGTTCTCTACTTTCCTTCTCTTTCTTCTTCTGAATTTCATTTGCTATCCTATCTGCCTCCAACTGCAATAACCCATGACAAAATATTAGAAAGCAGTGACACTATAAGTACACATTGAGCTATATCTTGATTTTACGGGGGAATGATCAACCTTTTTCTCCCTTGTTTCTTCTTCCTTGGCATCCAAGAACTGCTGAGGAACTCCACTAGCATTCTTTTGCGCACTGAGGAGAAGCGTCCAAAGCTCTTTCATAAACTTTCCAGTATTTTTCTCCATGAAACCAGTAAGTGATATCTGCACCTGTTTCCCATTCACCTCCTGCATTAAAATAACATAGAACAAGTCCCATCTCAATCAACTGATGTTAGGTTTGATATTATGGAATGTATATGTTAATATTCAGATCCTGTGCCGAGTAAAATGGTGTATACCACTGTATTAGTGGCCTAAAATAAAGGATTAAAGGAAGCAAGATCCATTGTGAAATATACTTAACCACATAAATACGATTTGATGGAAAAAATAAAACAAGATAACTGCCATTGATGTATAAAAAAGATAGTATTTCCAATCCTACTATCCACTTCAAAATCATATTTACCTTTCCATCAAGAAGGCCGTAAATGAAGTTGATGAGAACTTCATCTTCAAAGCCAAGTAGCTCAGTAACCCTATTAGCAATCCACGGTCTAATAACATCCATCTTCACTTTTGTCATGTCCACCTGAAACCATATAATTTTCCCACGTCGTCAACAAGCACGCAAGTTACAATTATATGGAAAACTCAATTTGATACTACATAGCATATAATTCAATTTTATACTACTAAAATTCTCTGCATTTCTTACCTTTCTTATTTAAAAAAAAAAAAATCACAAGCAAAGTGCCTTCTGCAAAAGCTAGTAAAACAATTACATGAACCAACTGCTTCCCCCAATTCAAACTCTAACTACTTCAATTTCTTCGTAATTGAGAAAAAAGAAACGCATAATAAAACAACATATTAAAGGAACATAACAAACGTGTAAAAATATACACAATAAAATAAGAAATTGTGAGAATCAAACGAACCAGATGTTCCAGTTCAGCGGCGAATTTCTGCGATTTCATGAGCTTCGCTTGCTTGTTCGAGAACCGCGTATCTTGATCGGCCGAGGTGCCCTAATTAAACACGATAAACAAAATCGTAAAGTTATTATGTTAAAATGCAGAGATCTGGATCTAAAATCTAAAACAAAACTATTCAAGTGCAATAACATAGAAAAATGAAATTAGAGGAATGAGAGCTTACCCTGAAGAATCCGCCCGACATCTTCTAGGGTTTTGGGGGTGGAAACTGGAGACTGACGACAGGGTGAGTTGCCAAAGATGTTTAATAAGAGAATATTTGCGAAGAGAGAAAAAGATATTTGTGTAATGCACTTGAAATGTTTAGGAATCATCGAATCAGGGACCTTTATTCTGTATCGAGACGCTGTCGTTTTATGTTCGAAGTCTCCACTTTTAAAAATGCTAGAGTTAATTTAAACAATTTTTTTAATAATTTTCTTTTCAATTCATTAAAACCATAAATTCTTTAAAAACTAATTATTTTGTTGATATTCCTTTAGATCAAATATATTTCTAGATGCCACACGTGAGAGTACAAAATTTGGATTAATATCTTTTATATAGATTAAACCATCTTTATATTCAACCAAAAAAAAAAAAAACAATTTGGTCCACCAATTAACTAAATAAATTGTGGTATGTCACATTATAATGAATAATATATTATGGCCGAATGAGGTGATCAAGATTTTTGAATATATTACTCAAGAAGTTTTGAGTTTAATTCCCCTAGGTTGCTAATAGGAATAATTATCGGAGAGTTTATTCGATTGTTAACTTCAGATTTCAAAGGATTAATTGAAGTGTGCGCAAACTAGCGTATATATATAATATGTTATGCATTCTTATTTCATTTGGTAGTCATGCTTTTATTTTTATAAGAATTAAACTATAAGAAACAACATTAACTTGAATATAGGAAGACTCACACTAGTAATCTCTCATGTCGATTTTCCTTTGACCTCTGCAATTTTATAAAATCGTGAAACTGATTATAAATTGAACAAAGAGATTGATGGTTTTAATAAAATAAAATAAAAAATAATCTTTTATTATATAGAGAGAAAACGGTCACCAAAATAGATATTTTAAAGTAGTTAACACAAATATATATATATATATATATAGTTTTATTCTAATTAAACAAATATCAAAAGAGATTAATGATATCAGTTGGGCTAGTTGGGCTGAGTGGACCTTTAAGCCGCCCAGATCCCTGTTTTTATTCATTTTTACACAGTACCAAGATCAATGTATAAACTGATTGGCCCAATCAATTAATGCAGTTAGATTGATATTATCCATTTAGATTGATATCATCCACTTTGGTCCTAGTATGTACTAATTTGTTTTTTTGACTTCACATAATCCTCATCTACCCAAAATACATCTATTATATTGAGACGACTCAAGAAATATAAACTGTCCCAAAATTTTATTTGCCAACGATGTAGAATGGTATCGAATTCTCATATTATAAATTTTATGTCTTTCGTGAGGTTGTCACATCGTATTATAAGTCACAAGTTCAATTTGATACTAATGTTAATAGCTTAAGACTTAAATGGTTAAATGTATAAATCCTGCTCGTTTTAGGCTTATTTTGTATAAATTTGTTTTTAGGTTTCATGTAAGTGTTATTCACAAAAAAAAGAAATGTTACTTCCTAGTTAAAAGAACTCAATCCTCATAAATTGATTCAAATTTTATTACTAACTATGTAAAATGTGGTCATACACATTAAAAATCATGGTTTAGTATGTAAACTCATCTGATGATATGGAAACCCGGTTGCCATTTACTTATCTTTTTGTTTATGATATTATGGTACTATTTAGGGATTGAAAATTAGGCAAATACAATTTTTTAAAGGTTAAATTGTTTTTTGGTTGTGGAAATTTTAAGTGTTTTTTAATAATGGATTATTAAAGAGGTTTTGTTATAAGTAAAATATAAAATTTAAGATAATATAAGGCATTTTTTATTTTTCAAAACTTAGAAAAAATCCAATAATTTTAATTTATAAGATTCAATTGATCGTATATTATATTATAAAAGGGACGTGAAAACCAAGCAAATATAGATACTAATACACGGACACCTTCTTAGCAATTCAAAGTGGGACCTGCCACTTGAAGAAGTACGGTTCTGATCTTGTCGCTAATATGAACGGTGTAAAACTCGCTAGACGACTCAGACAGAGCGCCTCACTTCCTTACCCAAAAGAGAGCTTAAAAAAATTAAGACCCCTGCCAGATCTTGCCACGTGGACCCAACTCATATAATCGGATGCAAACCTATTTATATTCCACTCTTTATTCAAAATTTCTCGTCCGCCCCTCTCTCTCTTCTGATCTCCTCTCTCCGATCTCTCTCGCTGAAGCTCTCTCTCACTCCAAAAACATCTCACAATTAAATAAAACCCTAAGATTTTCCCGATGCTTCCCTGAATTTTTCCGAGAGAATTATCCTTCGCTTTCGATTCTATTGTTTTGCCGAGAAAAATTTATCGGAGGAGCTAGGGAGATTTTGAATTGAATTCAGATTGAAAAAGAAATGACGACATCGACGACCAGCACTGTGTACATCCGCGTCATCGAAGATGTCATTAGCAAGGTCCGTGACGAGTTCGTCAATAGCGGTCCTGGCGAGAGTGTTCTCAACGAGCTTCAAGGAGTAATTTTCTTTTCTTTTTCACATTTTCACGTTTTTAAGCTATGGTTTTAATTTCATTAATTTTGTGTTATAGTGTTAGTATAGGAGCTGTGATTTTTCGTTTTTAAAGATATTGATTTTGTTTTTGAAGAATATTGGTGTTTTGGTGGATCTGAGTAGGTCTAGGGTTTTGAGATAGTTTGATTTTGAGCTGTAGTGAAGCTGATCTTGGTTATTAATTATTTTTCATTTATTAAGGTTTGGGTTAATTTTGGTTTGCTAAGGTTTGGGTTAATTTTGGTTTGCTAAGGTTTGGGTTAATTTTGGTTTGCTTAGATTTGGGAAATGAAGATGATGCAAGCGGGAGTTGTGTGTGGTCCGATAGATAGGTCATCCGCGCCAAAGCCGGCACCAGGCGTAACTCCAGTTCACGATCTTAATGTACCGTACGAAGGGACCGAGGAGTATGAAACACCTACTGCTGAGATACTCTTTCCCCCGGTAAGTGTTTATTTCCCTGTGGAGTTTTTTTTCTTTATTCCTTATGTTGCAATTTCTCAAGTTTTGCTTGCATTTTTTACCTTGATTTTGTATTTGAGGATTTTTCTGTGGTTCTTTTTTGTTTGAAGATGTTGTACGTTAATTGTGAACTTTTGAAGTGATTTACGTGTCAAATTGTGTTGGATTATGGAGTTTTGACGTGGGTTTTCTAAAATATTGTTGCTTGGTTGTGAATTTTAAAGTGATTTGTGAGTCAAATTGTGTATGATTTTGGAGTTTTGAGGTGGTTTTTGGTTGGATTACTATTGTTGGGGTAAATTTTGAAGTAACTGATGAGTGAAATTGTATTTGTTTTTTTATGAGCTGTTTCCATTGTTTGCAGACGCCTTTGCAAACTCCCATTCAGACGCCATTACCCGGAAGCACTCCATTACCCGGAAGTACTCCATTACCAGGATCTGCGGATAACTCAATGTATAACATTCCTACTGGATCTAGTGATTATCCCACTCCAGTAAATGATTCTGGTGGCAGTACTGAGGCTAAAGGTGGAAGTGGAAATGGAAGGCCAAGCCCATACATGGTAAGAACAGTCCTAACAATACCATCATTTTTGTTGGTTATTATTTTGGAAGTTATTAATTCATATTCTCCCTATAAAATTGGGTGTATATGCACCTGTTCTTTCTCCTTTGTTAAAGCTGGCTCTTGGAATACTTTTTGGGGGCATAATTTTGCTGGCTAAAAGTTTTCTATAATTATTGTGTTTTCATAAGTTGCTTTTGGAAATTGGATGCAATTGATGACCTATTCTTTATTTTCTTACCACAGCCACCTCCTCCTTCTCCATGGACGAATCAGAGGACCCCTCTAAGTGTTGATGTTAATGTTGGTATGTACTTGTATGAGCATGATGGTGAAAATAAGCAATATATTTTATGATTTTAACAGTTCTTTAGTGATCAATGGCGTCTTGTTGTAGCTTATGTGGAAGGGCGCGATGAGGCGGATAGAGGAACCTCTCATCAACCCCATACACAGGTAATTCCTGTTATCTGTTAATATTGAAATTGCTGAGTGACCTATGGTTTCTGATTTAAGGAAAATGCATGATCAAAGAATTAGGAGTGACTATTTTCATGAATTTTTCTCTGTCTATCTAAAAAGTATGTGATACTGTTGCAACTGAAGTTGATTATCAGTTCTTGTATTTTGAGTGAATTCCAGGACTTCTTCATGATGTCATCTGGAAAGCGTAAACGTGAAGATTTCCCTACACAGTACCAGAATGGTGGATATAATATACCCCAGCAAGATGGAGCTGGAGATGCTATACCGGAAATTTTCGAGCTTGAGGTGTGTTTCTCCTTTCCATTGTTAATGATAATACAGTAGAACTTTTTTATTATTTATTTGTTTTTTGATGGATAGGAGGGGTGTTATAGCTACTTATTTTAAGCTAAGGTTTTTGTTTTACTTGAATTACTTTACCATATTTTATATACGAAACAATTTGAACATTCTACTAAATGTTAGACACTATATTCTTGATAAGTTTAACCAGTTTTCTAAAATTTGCTTGTAAGTAATGTAATTCCTTTTTTACCTTCCAGGCCTTGCTTTGCCTTCTCCATCTAAGTGATCTTGTATGATTGAAAGTTCTCATTTTGGATATTTTGATGAGCTAAATTTAGAAGAGTGAGACTGACTGCTTTATTTTGCCGATAGATTGCGAGCTTTGAGCCTACAACACTCTTTTCTGACAATTGCTTGCTTAAAGCCTAAATCAATTTTTAGTTTCTTGTTTTGGGCTGGTGTTAGTGAAGGCCTTTTAGTAGAAATGGGAAGGCATTTGAATTTTTGCTCCCTGAGTGAGGATGTTTTGATTTGATATAGCGGAACTTTTGATGTATGAAAACATGCAATGAACATTTTGACTAAACATCGAGATTAGAGAAGTTGAGTAACTTTGGCTGTTGTAGTACTGATAGGTGCTCCAAATGATATTGGATAAAATATTAGCCATGTTGATTGAACTCTATGATACAGCTGGTGTTATCTTCTCAACATAAAATGTGAGAGGATAATGTGGTCAACCATCACAATTTTTATTATTAGGTGAAGTATTTCACACTGTTATGTGGCCTTATTAGCTTTTAAGCTTTTTTTTTTTCTATTCAATCACTGAATCAATTGGTTATTGAGCTTCTGCAAGTTTTCATTTTCGTGTGAGAGTGACTTTATGTTTTTTGCAACTGGTACATGCTGTGAAGTGGCCAAGGAAAATACATATTTATGTAAAAACACAAAATTTAAGACTTTAGCTTGAGAAGGAATGAAATTTCTTCTGTGAGATTTGGTTTTAGTTGAACTGCTATAAACAGACAGATTTGTGTCCCAGCTTTATTGTTGGAATATTCAAATAGATGAAATTTTGTGTATGAGATTTATTTTTAGTTAAATTAAGGATGAAGGATTCTTCTATCTCATGTTTACTGTTCTAACATCTGAGTGTAAATTAGCTATTCATCATTATATATATACGCACATACATGCAAGCACACACGTATTTTGATTGCATATTCAAATATTGTAATGCTAATCTTCCAGGTAAGCCCAGGGAGTGGTTTCACTGGTAAAGGTAACACTGTCACCACCGCAAATAGGGAGTCCCTAGTGCATTCGTCCAGGTCATCTGTGAAGATTCCTCAACTGGATGGGCCAATTCCTGATCCTTATGACGATGTGCTTTCTACTCCCAATGTATGTATTATTGCTATTTAACTTTTAGATATAGTAATGTGGAAATGATGGCAATGCATTCACGGTGTTCCATGATTGGTGTAATTGCTAAAAAAGTGGTCTTATTTCGGCACTTTCAGGATTTTCATCAACTGGTATTTTTGAGGCGGCAACAAGTTTGCCTATAAAATAACTGTTTGATACTAAAAAAATCAGTGGTCTAGGTCTTGTATTGAGTGATTTGGTATATGCACACTATGATATGAACTGATTGAGGACATGTCTGTATCAGTATCCATGTTATCTTTTTGCCCTTTGAAGTAGATAATGATTGACCATATGATATCTGTACTCATACCGTGATTGGATGCGCATTTGCAGTAAGATTTAATTGTAATCTATCATCTTTGGCAAACTGACTGCTTTTCTGTCTCTTACTGGCACTCAATACTAAATGCATGCTTTGATTGTCATGAAAGATTCCAATTTACTAACCTTCAATTGCCTTTTTCTTCTTGGGGCATTATCCCTGCTTTCCGTCACATTGAAGATATACTACAACCAAGGGGTTGTTAGTGAAGACTACAACATAGTGAACACACCTGCTCCAACTGGTAAGCTTAGCTTGATGTCTTGAAGACCGTGTTTTATTTGCAAATGCGTGAATTGGTGTATGATATTCTCTTCTTTCTCTCTCTAGACCTACAGGCTAGTACTCCTGCTATTGTTGCACAAAATGAGGCTCTGGATGATGATGATGACGAGCCATTGAATGAAAATGATGATGATGAATTGGATGATGTGGATCAGGGAGAGGAGCTGAACACTCAACATTTAGTGTTGGCTCAGTTTGACAAGGTATTCTTTTGCTTATTCTTGGGTACACATCATTGATCATTATAACATGGTGGTAAATATCTTTGTGAATGAGCAAGGGTGGTCATGATTAACAAGATGCATTTTTGGTATAGGTGACTCGTACCAAAAGCAGATGGAAATGTGCATTGAAGGATGGAATTATGCATATAAACAACAAGGACATTCTCTTTAACAAGGTGCGCGTTTTAATCATGATTGATATTTTTCTTTTTATGTCCTTTAATTCAAAGTTTTGAGTTAGAAGGCTTTGATATGCTGTGCAGGCAACAGGAGAATTTGACTTCTGATTTGTTGAAGAGATGTTTGGTTGTCCATCACGTGGGGTGTCACTCAGAAGAGTGAATCGGGAAGAGTTGTTGGGTGTTTCGTAAATTTCCTTTTATAAATTTCTGAACGAAAGGTTGAGGGAAGGGAGTGAGATGGTTGGATTTAATAGCTTTTAAGACTGGTTGGACTGTTGACCTATGTACATAAAGAGGAGATTTTTTAGCCTTAAAAAGTTAAAATGGTTGGCTACTTATTGGAGTTTACCATTTTTCTAATGGAATCTGTAATTCTGTTTATGCCATATACATGGAAAGTTTGGTTAATTTACAAAGAGCATTGTTTGTTTATTTATGTTCATGCTGAATTGTTTTTTTGGACTCCTGTCCCTTTTTTCGCTCATTATTTGCTGTGATGAATGGAATTGCAAAAATAATGTTTACACAATACACAAAGCAAATCATTATCTATATTTTGGGTCACCGGTCCACCCACCTAATAAATGCAAATTTTTTGGAAAGTAAGCTGTCTTCACTAGGTAATGTATCAGCCCAAACTCTAAAGTAGATTCGTTTACATGGTTTTCTTATGTCCTTTTCCTCTTGGAGTCTGAATCTGATTCCTCTCCATCATCTTCTTCAAATCGTTCATACAGACATTCATGTTTTAATGAATATTAAGATTGGCCACAAAAGAAATAAAATTCAAAAACTTAGAATTACATCTTAATGTTTAAATATATTTGTTTTAAAGTAGTAAAACATTAAGAAAATATCACTTGTTCTATAACATAAATGGCCAAGATTCTAATTGTTAAAAGTCTTAGGGATGTGAAATTCGTAAAGAACACGAACACAAATGAAGAATAAAAATTTATCATTGAGCATCATTTATAATCACACATTTTGATTTAAAAACAGAAAACATAGTTGCTGGGTCTGCCACTGCCCTTTCTCCTGCAACCGACGACCCACCACCACCTTTCTTCTCATCACCGCTGCACTTTATGTCATTATTATTCCTACTTTTAGGGAACTTAAGCTCCTCTCCCTCTGCCAATGCTTTTGGCGATTCAATGAGCGGCGATAACAGAGGAATTATGGAGACATTACCAGAGGACGACGACGCATAAGGGTTTGTCACCTCATCCAGTTTAAGATTCGCCGGTGCATGCTTTTGAAGCCTTGTGGGTGGCTTCCCAACTTTTGTTCGACTCTTGGAAACAGCTTGTTTCTCAAATATGTTCTCACCGTCTTCCATTTCTTCAACCAAACTTTGCTTCTTCTCTTTCACACACACCCACAAAAATATCAAACTAGTTCTTCTTATTCTTAATAGAATGGCAGTTAAATTCTTGGCTTCAAGTTGTGGCTAATTAAGAAAAACAAAAAGCTAACAAGAACGTGTGACAGTCATTTAGTAACGGTCATTTACTGATAATTACACACGTTTATTCAGTTTTTAATGGCTGATAATAATTCTAGGAATAGGGTTATATCTTCAAGTCAATTAAACCATTAAACTCCGAGAAAATTAAGGTCTCCTCTTAATTTCATCAGTTTCTAAAATTGGCATCTCCCCCCAGGTAACAATGTTTTGTTGGTCTAACTTTAAGTCCTTAAATTTAGAAGCCATATGTATTTATGATTCTTCCGATTGCTAAAGCTTAACTATTGAGCCCCCAACCTGCAAACCCATTCACGGCTTTACTTAAATCATACAGATGAAAAATTGAACCTAAGGCTGTATGTCTATCTATATTATATTCAATTCATTCTTGGGTTATTAATATATTGTAACATTATAGAATTTGCTTATTTCTATTTTATGCCTTACCAAAGTTTATAATGTCCACGATATCAATAATAATTAAACTAAATTAATAAAGAATTTAAATATATGTTCAAATTAATGTGACATCCAAAAAATAAAATCATAAAAACCATTAAAGGAAATAATATTATAATAAGCCTATTTCAATATTCTTTTGGAAAATAATTTTGGGTCCTTAATATTTGATCCGTATAGATTTTGTCCCAAAGATTTGATTCTTGAGGGATTAAAACTTCCATCTCTAGAGTTAACACAAGGAGATTGGATTGATAATTGGGTTTTGAGATGTTTGGATTACAGGGAGATGGTGAGAGAGTTTCCAAGGCCTTTCAATTGCCTTAGGATGGAATTTGATTCCCTAATCTTACTTTGAAACAAGTAAAAGGGGGAGGTGGAGGTGGTGCCAAACCGCCAATCCCAAGTTGTGGCAAGCAGTGAAAGCAGACGTCTATCCAAGTCAAAAGTCAACCAAAACTACATATGCAAACAAAACTTGATAACCAAAACACAAGATAGTAAAAGCGGGAACCTTAACTGTCTACCGTCAGATCACTCTTTTCATGGCTTCCACTACTTCAATTCGTCCTCTCTTCTCCTTCAATCTCACACAATTTCACCGACCCAAGAAGCCAAAGTCTCTCTTCTTAAACTCTCACACTGATCCTAAACCATCTCTAAATTCTTTCTCTTATTTCAAGACTAAGAATGTCCTATCTTCAAAACCACTATTGCTCTCAACTAACAAACCAACATTCAGTGTAAAATTTCTGTAGAATCATTCTTTTTATTGTTTTAATAAATGGGTATTTTTTTTTTTTTTTTTAATTTCCTTCTTTTGTTTTTGGGTAGGTTGGAGCTCAGGGAGAGTATACTACTGGAGGAGATGATAAGTCGCCTATATCTGACGCAATATATCAAGAGGATTTTTCTTGGTCTTCTGTGATTTTGCCGTAAATGTTTTTCCTTCATTTCTTCATTTGATGTTTGTTTCTTCTGTTTTTTCGGTTAATGGGTAGTTCTGTTTTCTGGTGGAGAATTTTGAATTAGTCATTTTGTTACATAGCAACCTGTTATGATTTTAGGATCATCTGAATTCTACTTAAATTTACCTTTGATCTACATGTTATTTTGCTAGTACTTGCTCTTAAAATTTTGCTTCTGAAAGCAAAATAAATGGTTCTAAAGTGCTAACCAATGCCTAATTGATGGTTATGAAAAATTGATTGCCAATGCGCTTTGGTGAATAGTTAAGTGTGTTCAATTTCAGTGTGAGTGTCCTGTTGTGTTGATGATTAGCATAATACTGTGTCAAATTAACTCAATTCATTCAACATTCAGGTTTCTGTTCCCAGCTTTGGGAGGATTGTTATTTGGGTATGACATCGGTGCCACCTCTGGTGCCACCATCTCATTGCAGGTACTGATATGCTCTTGTGGGTTTTTTTTTTTTAGTTGTAGAGGTTACTGCTACATTTGAAGATACTTTTCATTTAAGCTAGAAGAAAATGCACTAAAAAATGTAATTCATTCTTATAATAATTGCAGTCAGCTGAGCTTAGTGGCACGACTTGGTTCAACCTATCGGCTGTTCAGCTTGGTCTTGTGGTATGGTTCATGTGTCACACTTAAATGAACTTATTTTTCATTTATGGAAACCTGCTGTCAATTTCTACATACACTCACCAGGGTGTATCTATATAATTTTATGTCAAGTTGCCTTGTATTTAGGTTAGTGGTTCCCTCTATGGAGCTCTTTTTGGATCTATCCTAGTGTACCCAATTTCAGATTTCCTTGGTAATCTGTTACTTATCATCTTCCTCTTAAAAGTTTGGAACTCATAAGTAAATCATTCTCACCCAGTTGTTTAAACTGACTAATAAAGGAAGGAGGCGTGAGCTTATAACAGCTGCTGTGCTATATGTGCTTGGTGCTCTAATCACAGCCTACGCTCCAGGCCTTGGTGTTCTCTTAGCAGGACGGCTGCTCTATGGTCTTGGCATTGGTTTGGTAAGTTTCTTGGTTTATGTTCACCTGTTTTTGTACAGTTACCTAATTCTTTTTGATGTAATTTATCATATTTTAATCATCGCTCAGACTGTCTCATTTGACAATTGACAGGCCATGCATGGGGCTCCTCTGTACATCGCAGAAACTTGCCCATCTCAGATTCGTGGAACCCTAATTTCTCTAAAGGAGCTCTTCATAGTTTTGGGAATTTTGGTGATTTTTTAACAATGATTTATGCTTCTATATTATGTTTATATTCTTTCAAGCAATGAGTTGAGTTGAAACATGATCCTATTTTCAGTTAGGTTATTTTGTGGGAAGCTTCGAAATTAATGCAGTTGGGGGATGGCGTTACATGTATGGGCTCAGTGCCCCTATTGCTTTGTTAATGGGACTAGGAATGTGGAGTCTTCCGCCTTCTCCTCGCTGGTTACTTCTCAGGGCATTCCAAGGAAAAGGATCCCTGCAAGAATACAAAGAGAAGGCCATGGTTGCCCTAAGCAAACTAAGGGGCAGGCCTCCCGGTGACAAAATATCCGAAAGGCAAATAGAAGATACCCTTCTATCAGTTAAGTCTGCCTACAGTGATGAGTCTGAAGGAAGCTTGTTGGAGGTATTTCAGGGGCCGGCTTTGAAAGCTTTCATAATTGGTGGAGGTTTGGTCCTTTTTCAACAGGTGCTTTGTCCTATTTGCTGGTCTGTGCTGCTATATTTATGTTTGCCTTATTTTAATCTACTAAAAAAATTTATTATGGAGAGAATACGGAGGAATTTGTTTTGCAAGCTGAATTACTGTTTAATTGTAACAGATAACAGGACAACCAAGTGTTTTGTATTATGCAGGTCCCATTCTTCAGGTACTTGATACATATGCTAACGTTTAGTGAAATGGAAGATATTTATTTACTTAAGTTTTACATAACCTTGTAATAACTTTTGCATTACCAATGCTCAAGAGTGCTGGATTCTCTGCGGCTGCTGATGCTACTCGAGTTTCTGTTGTAATTGGTCTGTTCAAGGTACCTTTGAAAATTATATCTCAAATCCTTCTGATTTAGGATGAGTGATGAATATCTCTGCTATGTTATTCTCTTTTGGGGCACTGAAAATTTTTCCTTTTTGTAATGGATTGATCCTGATCCTTTTTCAGTTACTGATGACATCGGTTGCTGTCTTCAAAGTTGATGATCTTGGAAGAAGACCCTTACTGATTGGAGGTGTCAGTGGGATTGTATGCATCTTGTCTTCTCCCAAATATTTGATTTTTCAGTGTTAGATGCCATAGTTGGTGGAGAAAATAATGGTCTGTTTTTCTGTATTATTTGGTTGACTACACTACAGGCGCTTTCCTTAGTTCTGCTTTCTGCATATTACAAAGTACTTGGAGGTCTCCCCCTTGTTGCTGTTGCTGCTCTGCTTCTCTATGTTGGTTGCTACCAGGCAAGAATTATGTCTTATGGTTGTTGGTGTTAATTACTCATTTTTCTCCATAATTAGCTACATCCCTATGGTATCAATGTATATTGACTTAGATAATATTATTCTAAGGAAAAGGAATTGGAAAATGTAGAAGAAGAAAGAATTGACTGAGTTTTTGTTTTCAGTTAGTAAGCTCAAGGTGAAGGTTGAATCTGATAGAGTGTTTGTTATTTAAAAATCATTTCAGATATCATTTGGGCCTATCAGTTGGCTAATGGTGTCAGAGATTTTCCCCCTTCGTACAAGAGGAAAAGGCATCAGTCTTGCAGTGCTTACTAACTTTGGTTCAAATGCTATTGTTACCTTTGCATTCTCGCCATTGAAGGTATTCATCCAATTTCTAGCAATCTATTCCTCTCAAAAGTTTTTCGTTCATTGTCTTTGATTCCTATTTTTGATCAACTGGTTTAGTGATGATCTGCATTAACATTCTCTAATTCTGCAGGAGTTGCTGGGAGCAGGGAACCTTTTCCTCCTTTTTGGTGCTATTGCCTTGTTATCAGTTTTGTTCATAGTCCTCATTGTCCCAGAGACCAAAGGTTTGAGCTTGGAAGAAATTGAATCTAAAATTTTGAAGTGAAACCTGACAAGGCACCAGTATACCAAAGATTATATTCGTATTTTTACATGTAACTTAGAGATTGTTTTCTTTCATTTTATGTTATTTCATTAACTCAGTTGTAGAAATTCCAAGTGTCTTCATGTTATGGTATTGATGCATGATGAGTATGAATAATTTATGCTAACTGGGTCTATATGAATTATGTATAAAAATGAATTTTTGTTTTGAAATTGGTACTTACTGAAGTTCATGAAATTCATTAAAAAGCAGAAAATCTAAAATCATTGCACATTGTTATTTTACTTGGTATCTAATATTTGGTTTGTCTGTATGCAATTCATGGGAAAACAGAAAACCATATTGCTGTAGAGTAATGTATTCATTTTGGTGGATTCATTATTGTGTCTGTTTGAAAGTTTAAAATGCTAACGGAAGGATATCAGCAATGTTTTAAGCATCTATGATGCAGTACACAGTATTGCATGAACGGATTGGCAATGGAGGTTCAGTCCTAGGCTCAACCTCTTCGGGCAGTTGTTTGAAGAAATTTTGTGCATGTTTGAGATTTTCGTAGCTTATAAAATGGTCACTACATAATCAACAATAAGACTATGAGTGAGCCAGACTGATAAGTGATTAAGTTTAAAGCTACAACAAATCCCAAATTGGCCCTTAGTTCAAGAATCACATACAAAATTGAAACAAGACTCTGAGTAGGAAGCAAAATAGTTAAAAGTTACTCAATTGTTCTCATATCTTTTAAGGCAAATCATCCGACTTGGTTATGACCTCTGGGATTACTTTTTAACTTTTCTTTGGTTATATTATAGCTATTCTAACATAGATATGGAGCTAGCTGTTGTGTTCAATTGAAATCAGATTGACTTACAGAATACAGTGACAAGTAGAATTAACAAAAGAACTACCAGTTTCATAAATTCTCAGAAAGTTGTAGATTGGTCCAAAGAAAGCCGTAATTGCATGAATGATATTTGATTCAACGACCTTCTTTGAGGACTGAATCACTAGTAGACATAGTCAGAGTAGAATTACTTTCGAACAATGAAGGAAATGACCCACTACTAGAAGCTTCATTATTAGTTATGAACACATCAATTGAACTGCTATCAGGTGATATATCTGGCAATGTAGCATCGCCATCCAGATACTGCATCAACTGTCTCATGTTAGGTCTTGCTGCGGGGTTAGGGTGTGAACAAAACAGCCCTAGTTTCAGTACCAACTCCATTTGCTCCTCTGCGTAAATACCTTCTAATCTTGGATCACTGGCATCGATGATAGCTCCTCTTTTCCAGTAATTGATTATCCATTCAACCAAATATACCACTCCATAACCTTGTTGCTCTATAGGCCTCTTTCCACAAGCCACCTCAAGCATGAAAGCCCCAAAAGCAAATACATCTGTGCTGGTAGTTGCCTTTCCAGTTCTAATAAATTCGGGAGCCAAATAACCGACAGTTCCCACCAATTTTGTGGTTTGTGGATTGCTACCATGATCATATAGTTTAGCTAGGCCAAAATCACCTAACCTCCCATTTAGTTCGGCATCCAATAGAACATTACCCGGTTTTATATCTCTATGTAGGACAACTTGTTCCCATTCTTCATGGAGGTAAAGAAGGCCAGAAGCTATTCCTCTAATGATTCGAAATCGCTGAAACCAATTAAGATTTGGCTCTGTATTGCTGTATAATATTTTGTCCAGGCTTCCGTTTGGCATATAATCATAGACCAAAATAAATTCTCTCTTTCGCCTGCAATAGCCGCGGAGTTGCACCAAGTTCCTATGCCTTAGCCTTCTCATGCTAACAATCTCAGCCACAAATTCCTTCATCCCTTGTTCCGAATCGTGAGAGACCCTCTTGACTGCGATTTGCTCGTTAGAAGGAAGGACGCCTCTGTAAACCTTTCCAAAACCTCCTTTTCCAATAAGCTCTTTGTCCTTGAAACCTCTGGTTGCTTTATAGAGATTCTTATAGGGGAACCTTTGAGGGCCATATTCCCTTTCCCAGTCTTCACATACTTCTTCATATTTCTTCTTCCACACAATGTAAGCAGCTACAATGACTACTATAAAAAACACAGCCACCGCTACTACAATCAAAACAATCATCAGTAGTCCAGGTTTCTTACTTGCTTTCCCGTGAGCAGGAACAGGAGGAAGCTTGGAGACATCAATGTTTTGTGCTTGTCCGCTTCTGTTGAAGCTCCATCCTAGAATATAATGGTCACTTGTAACTGTTCCAGTTGTTGCTGAGAAACCAACATACATAGAGTCCAAGAGAACTTCAGAAAGATTGAGCGGTGTTGACAAGAGAGGTCTTTCTGGTTTTGCGATTCGAATAGGAGAGAGAGTCACATTGAGTAATTTTTCAGCACCATCGTAGTCTATCCAAACCTGTATTGGATCTCCACTCATGAGCACTAAGCTTTTGTTCTTCCGTTCTTCATTCGAATAATAAGTTGCTGTAGCAGATTCATTAGAAATCAAGCCGTTCGCATCAATTCCCACATGGTTTCCATCTATGTCATAAAATTCAGGGCTTTTTACAGTATCAACCTCGATCGCTAAGATGTGGTTTGTAGGCTGGCCATTGTTTGTAAGATTGAAGAGTCCCAAATAATGACCTGCAACAGCGCCAGTAAAGTTCATAGACGGTGAGATGACGAAAGCTATGCCATGGCCTCCATTATTAACCGATTCTGGAACTATGGCAAAAACAAAATTCGTGGAAAAGGAAAGAGATTCAGGGGAAGATGTGTTGAATTTGAATGGGAATGGATAAAAAGCATGACCAGTTTGCCTCTCAGAAGTGTTGGTTAGCTGCAATAGACCATTGGGGTGGATTTCTGAGAATTCACCCAGATGTAATTTGGCTTCATGGAAGCCATGATTGTAGATGAACTCGTTTTCATTTTGAGATGAGCACAAGCAAATGAAGGATAAATTGAAAAGCATCCAAACATAAATCGATCGAAGAGCTGCAGCCATCACAAGAAACTAAAAAAAAAAAAAAAAGGTGAAAAGATTTTGTGAAGAGGAAACAAATTTTGCCGCTAGTTTGATTGTTTCAAATTCCTGAGAGCGGAATATTTGTTACTTACAGTACATTAGTGCTGAATATTTTGTTATTTAAAGAACATTGAAAAGATCAAGTACGTCTCTGATACTGTAGTCTTTCGAATGCAGGAACAGTGGAGAAAATGTGGACCTGCCAGTCGAAGCCCGTGAAGGAAAAGTCTCTCGCGTTAGGAAATGATCAAGTCAATTGGAAAGGACTAGTCTCTCGCGTTAGGAAATGATCAAGTCAATTGGAAAGGACTAAGCTTGAGTCTGCTTGGCTCATATTACCCAATGAATACTTGAAGTAAAATTGATTCTACTAAAAAATACTATGAACCAATGTACCTCTATATACTTCCTTCTAGTAACACGAGGAGGGAATCAGATAGCTGACCTCATATCTTGACATCAATAATTTTGAATATTGAGGGTTGATAGCTGCATGTGAAACAATTTCAGCAAAATTTAGGTAGAGTTGCATGGTAATGGGGGAAGTGATACCGAGTAAAACCGGGCGGCTCACGTTGTTCAATCATTCTACATGTGCACTTGAAAATGAGAGTTTGGGTCTTCTGTTTGTTTTGAGTAATCTTTATTTGCAAATCAATACAATGACAAGTAAAAATGATACAAGTGTTAGAATTATTACCTTAAGTTTAGTCTTTTCTCTTATTTTCTTTGTAACCTATTTATCTTTATCTTTTTGTTGCAATTTTTATTTTATTTTTTTGTGTGGTTCTCATAAAAGAAGTTATGAAAATAACATTCTCTTTTGAGTTTCTTCAACATATTGGATTTCCTTTGATTTATCATGGTATGAGACCATAAATTTGTGAAAGAAAGTGTAATTACTAATTACATCCATGTTTCTCGCGGATCCAACTTGACAGGATAGCTTCACAGGCTAGGAACTTATAGACACTCCGGAAAGGCGACAAGTTATGTAGTGTTCATAGAATATTGAAGCAGTTTGATACAAATGACCAAACTGCTACTCACCACTGATTGTAAAAGGGCTTTGTGTATCTTTAATTAGGACCATACATTAGTCCTCACATTCTAAGGAATGTTATTTATAAATCATATTCATATCTTATAAAATGCATTTTTTTTTTTTTTTTTTTTTTTTTTTGTGATCGTGGATGTTTAGGTCAGTTTACGCGTATCTCGCCTAATCCTCGAAGCCCTAAAGTTAAACGACTGGATAAACCCTCCAATGGCCACCCTTATTGACAATCGAGAAGAATCGAACTTAAACCTTTTGAGTAATACACTCAAGAGTTCCTATTATCCCACCCAGTTACTTAGGGGTGATTAACTTACAAAATACATCAGTCCTCACATTACAAGGAATGTTAGTCCTCAAATGCTGATTGTATAAGGAATGTTATTTTGTTCTCATTAGTCATTATAATTCTCGTGCACTCTTAACAAGATTGGTTGCATAGTTTGTTTGACCATAAATATGGAAACATATGGAACTTTGAGGACCACTTGCTTCAGTCTTTTCTAAGTCAGCAATGAGTCCAATGACTTGTATTAAGTATTAACGTGTTAATTCAAGTCTATCTCCTTTGAAAATGTTTTCATAAGCCAGATTAACACTTACTGTCAATCAAACTATGAGACTAACATATAAAAGTTCATTATCATATTCAATTACAATTATTCTTATTTTTTCAATTATATGATATTATTCACATATAAAATTATCAAATCTCCAACTTTTTTTTTTTTTTTTTTTTTAATCACAAATCAATAGTATTGAGTATCAAACTCACCACATGATAATTCCTTCTAAGATTCGGCACAATCAAACCCCATGAACCTGAATCATTCAGGGTGCATCCTGCATGTTGCAAATGATCCGACAAAAAACAAGAGCACCTTATGTAAAACTGATAGAGAAGTAGACTTATACATGAGTACGTTTGCAACATCTCTCTAATTTACAGTTGAAATAATTTTGATCAATTTTCCATATCACTGCATCATCAGTATCAAATTCCTGAGAGCTGAATATTACCCAATGAATTCTTGAAGTAAAATTGATCTTATACCAACAAATACTATGTGATAAAGTAAATTGATCTTCTACCAACAAATACGATGTGATAAAATGAGTTTGGATATAACTCACTCTAA